CCCCCCGCCGCCGGCTGTTCTTCCCTTCCCGTTTCCTCCATTGCCTTTTGTAGCTTCGCCGCCGCCACCTCAATTTCCGTTTCCCTTCCCCATCCCCTTCCCATCGCTACCGCCGTTCAACCCAATACCTACACTTTTTCCGCCACCGCTGTCACCACCTTCTTCTCCGGCGCCGGTTACTTTCCCGTTTCCTTTTCCGCCTCTGCCTCCCTTCCCGTTCCCTCACCCGCCATCTCCACCTGTAACAGCCTTTTCTTTGAGCGACCCTCAAAGGCAAAATCAGCAGCCTTAAGCTTCATATTCTGTACAAGTTTCATGTAAAATGCTACATATTGTATAACAGCCTTTTCTTTGAGCGACCCTCAAAGGCAAAATCAGCACTCTTAAGCTTCATATTCTGTACAAGTTTCATGTAGAATGCTACATATTGTTAGATATATATAAGTTCTTGTAATGCATTTATATTGCGAATTGGTTTGCAATAACTAGTAGTACCGACATTATAGAAGAAGAGCACTTTGGGAAATAAAAGAGGGGCGTGTATATATATATATATAGATATATATATATATACACACACAATATATATATATATATACCTTGCAATTCTTATGAATTTACATGTCTTTGTTCCTTTTAATAAGCATACTTGGGTTCTAAAATCTACCCTTGCTTTCTCCTTTGAAATTAGAGCGAACAAAAAATGATGAACATTTTCATTTCTGCCCCCACTTAATATTTTTTTCAATATTTAATTTATAGAATGTTTATATGGGGGTAATTATACTTATCTATTTCCATAATCATTAAATATATATCATGGAAAATTACAAGCGTCAGTGTACCACATCCCTTTTTGGTACTAACAAGAAAAAAGAAAAAGATAAAACAGTAAACAATTCTAGCGTAAAAAGCCACCAGCAACTTTAATTGTAACTTGGTAATGAATGTGACAACGAAATTACTAAAATTTGTCACATGGTTCGGTTGATGAGACATTGAACAAATAATTAAATGTAGACCACCGGAAAGTAGCTATTTACAAATCAACCATCCTCTTTCACCTATTTGTGAAATTCTTACTCCTCAAAATTCACGGCAAAACCCCAACTCATATTAGTCATTTTTATCAAATTCTCAATAGTTTGATCGTAACACGCGTGAATACGTCGGTTTGATAGTTCAAAAAAAACACATGAGCACTTAATTTATAAATATCAATATTTCGGTGGTCTGCATCTAATTATCCAAAAACGAAAATATTTGGTCAGCATCTATTATAAAAACATTGGCCAACTGTCATAAAACATCTAAAATCTAATCAAACTCATCTAACAAATAAGTAATTTATGCAATCCATGTGAGCGAAAAACTGTATGAATCTCCGGCTTTAAGCAATCCAATGAGCAGAAAAAATGCACAAATAATCGCCATTTTATCAGAGGGTAAGGACATTAATTAAAAAAACATAAAAGGGGCATTTACATACATACCACTCAATAATTGTATACATTTACATTTCTATTTACATATCTAACACATAAACATTGCCTTTTAACTTTATACCACCCAAATCTTACACATCAAATAAAAATAAAAAAAAAACCCCTATTTTAACTTTAACAAAGTGAAATATACCTTTTAATGCATATGCAAGGTGGTGCATGTAAAAATTGAATTTTACGTGTTAGATATGTAAATACATAGGTATTGAGTGGTGTGTATGTAAAACCTCAAACAGAACATATATGTGAGTACTTAACATAAGAATACCATTTCTACTCAAAAAAAAAATTGCATACCTGCTGTCAAATGGATGTGAAATTCTCTCAAATGAATAAACTTATAGTGCATTTCTCTTTTACAAAAAAGCACAAGAAATTAATACAATGATTGCTCTACACAGTTAAAGAGATTAATGGGAGCGCGACGAGCATCGTCCAATGTTCAAATTGTTATGAAAGTGATTTTCCTCATCAAATATTATGATAGGGAGATCCATCAATGGAGAAAATTAGGTACAAAGGATGCAAAATAGAATGTTCGATGATCGGTTCTAGTGTCCCAATAAATCAAAAGTTACGAAGGGCGAAAAAACAATGTTTGGTCCATGCTCAAAAAACTCGCATAACGTTGAAGAGTACTATCTAATCCAGGGATGTTTAATTAGAAATTACATCAGAGCATTTTCAATCATGAAGAACTTGTTAAAAGAACTAAAAATAGCCCTATTTATTGATTATTGGAGGGCTATCATAAACATTATCCACAATGAATAATGTACATCACTTTCTCCCATAATCAATAATATTGGACCGCACAATTAACTTTTGATCAAATAATTGCTCTTACTAGCCCCACTGAGACCTGACTCAATGGCAACCATTAAGAGTGATTTATCATATCAATGATCAAAATATATCTTGATATATGCTCAACATAGAAACATTATTTGAGGTGACGATTCAAATCTTAAACAGGTGGATATGTAAGAACTAAGTTGAAAAAGGTTGTTGCCTCTTCAATTGACCGAACAAAAATGAAAAAATATATTTTCATTTCCTCTTCCTAAGAGGAATACTTGGAGATGAATGACTGATATAAGAATGAATAACCAGAGGCATGGTAAAATGAATAAGCATTATTATTAATGTATCCCTCGAATAACATGAGTAATTAACCAAATAAACTCGAAAGAGTAAACATGTAAACATACAATACTATATAACATAAGATAAAGTTAGATGGGGAGTATTATAACTCAAATGATGAAAGTAATTATATCGACACAACCATACAAGCTATGAATTCATAAGAACAAAAACTAAGAATAAACAAGCTAGTGTCCAAATACATTGATGTTGATTACATGGATACTTATGCTAAGCGTATTATGGGGGGCTCTAAAAATTTCTGCCCCGGCCTCCCCCAAAAAGAAAATGAACAAGTATGGTGGTTTTGAGAGATTTTACCGTGAGTTTTGCAGTTAAATTTTCAGAAGGCCTTCATTTTGAGAGGACTTTAAGATCCGTGTCGAGATTTCCTATAGGAATAAGCCTCTTTAGTTAATTACCCTACTAATAATAGGAGAGCACTTTCAATTAAGGCTAGTCATTAAAAGCACTTAGTGTTCAAACTCAGAATATAATAGAAGCATTTAGGTTTTAAATTGATCAAAAATATCACAATTAGAAAAGAGCGAATGGCAGAGGAAATGATGATACGCGCGATCAGAATCGCATGATTTCATTGTCCCGGATTATGGTCCCCGGTCCACTATAAGTCAGGGAAGGAAGTCAACACAACCTGATAGAAAGATCTTTGTCGACAGTCATTGATTATTTCGTCCAAAAAAACCTTGCAAACCTAAGGTGAATGTTTGCCCAAGGGAACACATTCAAATCACCAGCTAACAAATGATCTATGCCATATCAAATAATACTTTATAGCTAACAACACAAATAAGCAAAGAAATTGGGGAATATGCGGGCTAAAGTCATGATCGTAATGTAGTGAAGATTATTGGTTAAATCATATGATGGAGTCTATTAGGTAATGGATGTGACCGTTTCTTTGTAAAGTTTTTAGGTCAAATCACATAGATAGAGGACTTAGGCCAAATTATTACCAGATGTTAAGGCTTCAAATAAAATAAAAACATAATTAATTAAATTAAAGCCCTAACTAATCCCGCTTTATGTTCTCACTGATTCGTACGGAGGTTTTAATTTTTCTCCCCACTGGGTATATTCTTGGGGAAAATTTTTTCCAAACGGAGTGCGGACGCAACTCTATGAGCAGACGCATGTAATATGCTGTCACGTGTGCTACACTAGACCCACCTTATTAAATATTTAAATGAATGAATTTTTTAACACCTGACTCGGCTCGGACCTTTTCAAATTAGAACCGTGGAAGTTATTAAAGTGGTTCACCGCTCGATGATATTGTGGGGTTATTAGGAGTTTATTGCAGCGTTATTGAAGAGGTCATTGGAGTTGTTCTGCGGGGGTTATTGAATTGTTAATGAAGGGTTATTACGACGTTATTGAAAATTATTGGAGTTGTTCTGCGGGGGTTATTAAAGAGAAACCGCGGAGGTTATTGGAGTGGTTCACCGCTCAGTGTTACGGTGGGGTTATTGAGGGATATTGCGGCGTTATTGGAGTTAATACCCTAATAACACCGAAATAATACCCCAATAACTCCAAAATAGCATTGAATTCGATAGATTTGAACTGAATCATCAACTTCAAGAATATAATATGCTATTTGAATATACCTCAATGATACTTCTTAGAAATCATTGATAAAAATTACAAAAACATATAAAAAACTTTCATCTATGTTTGAGACTTTCATTTATATTTGAAACATATAACACTTAAATAATAATATCATAATATCTACAAGACAATACCGTTAAATGAGGTGTTTTTATTTTAGTTAATGGTACTGTCTTGTAATTGTTATGATGATATTATTTAAGTGCCGTTAAATGAGGTGTTTTTATTTTAGTTAATGGTATTGTAATTGTTATGATGATATTATTTAAGTATTATTGCTGTGTTATTTAGTTGTTACTAAAAGATTTCTGTTTTAACTTTTATTGAGGTATTATTCTGTTCCAGTGTTATTATTGCGTATATTTGATGTTATTGTGGTGTTATTCCCGGTGTTATATTTTATTTATTACAAAGTACAATGGTTTGGGTAGGTGATGTGAAGGTGTGCAAAAAATTGGGAGGTGGTGCTTGGTTTGGAGGAGGCAGCGTGGTGATGTTGAGGAAGGTGATGCAGAGTTAGTGGAGTTGTGTGGTGTGTTATTCATGTTGGTGGTTGGTGGTGTGGAGGTAGTGGTATTTGGTTGAAAAAGGTGGTGTGATGTGGAGTTGGCGGTGTGGTTTAGAGGTTGTGTTGTGGTGTTGGTTTTTTTTATATGGCGGCAGTGTGCTATTGATGTTAGTTGTAGGTTGTGTGTAGGTGGCGATGTGTTGTGGAGGTAAGTGATCTGGAGGCGGTGGAGTGATGTGGTGAGCTGTTGATGTTGGTTAGCGATGGTGTGTGGTTTGGAGGTCGTGATGTGGTGTTAGTGATGTGTTGATAAATATGATGATGGTGGTTGTTGTTATATTACTTAATTTTTTATTTATCTCCCATTAATTTATGTTATTTAGTTCTTTGCGTGACAGTTGTTGTTATAGGCAAAGCAAAAGAATTCGGTACATCCGCTGCCTGGGATAAAGAGATGACACTAAATATTGTGACCTCTATGTCAAAAAGGTTGACTTA